ACCAATTAAGGTACAAGGTACAACTACTCCATCAATGACAATATATCATTTTTCCAGTCTGTGTCACCGGTCTACAATTTGAGATATTGCATACTGTATCTGACATTGTTATGATATCAGGAAAATGGCCACTATCCACTAAAATACAGGCATCATTTTGTCGGTACTTATTGACCGCCAACATTTATCTTTATATTACCCGAGAGTACAAAATTGAACAAATTGTTGATATTTGCGTTCATGAGTAGTAAGCTTTTTAAAAACGACTTCGGGACAGGAGAGAGCAACGGAGACGGAGAGAGCAGTCATGGTCACGGCGCCCTCACCGACGTCTATAGTGAACACATGTTTCCAGATATCCACCGCTGTTCTTTGCCACAATAAAATGTCCCTGGAAAAGCTCAATTGTTTTAAATATACCTATCAGTATAATACCTGAATTTGCTATGTGTTTAATTCTGTCAAAACTGTTTGAAAATGTGATCTGGGTATTTTCAGAAATTTGTAATAGCACAAAATTTCGTGTGATTGTGCAATATTTATAATATATATATATATATATTCAGAATTGTCACTGCCCTATTTAATGTATCGGAATGTATGAACTTAATTATTTCTACGCTTTGTGCTCTTATTTTAGAGCTCATTCACCCACCTGAAAATGGTATGCCCTCCCACCTTATAATGGAAGAGTCTAACTCGGCTCGTTCTTTCCGCCATATTGAAAAGCAAGGTACACAGTCCTTGAAGTCAAGCTAAGGCCAATCCGGCGACGTGTACCATTATTTTAAGCCATCCAAGCTTATCAATAGCGTAAAAATATTCTTCAATATTTTGATAACTTTGCTTTCGAAAATGGCTTCCCAATCTGAGTTGGCGTGCGTGTACAGCGCACTTATTCTTCACGATGACGATGTTGCCATCACGGTGAGTTTTTGAACCGGCATGTGTGTTTGTATGTACCTTCGTGTGTTGCGATCAGCAAGCCCGAACGGAAGCAAATAAGTTATTTTTATCACAATTGCGTGTCCACGAGTCTGTCTACATTTGCACTGCTCTTTCGACAATTGGGTAAAAGAAGAGATGGTTCGGTTATTGTACACAACGACAATCGCTGCTTCGTGCGTGATGTTCATATCGTTCGCTACATATCCTGATGGGAACAACTTACTCGCGTTCAAATATATGACTTGTAATTAGAAAATAAACGTAAAGTTCCATGGTTCCAGTATCGAAGAATGTTAAAAAAAAATAAGTAGCAAGTAAATCTTGAATAGAAGCACTATTGATAATTTGTCTGAGAACATCGTATAAATTGCATCCAATAATCCCAAAAATAAGACTATTATTCTCACTTCTTTTACCCTGGTGGCCAAAATTGGACATGATCGCACTCAACATGCTGGTGATACAGTATTTACTAAATTGAAACATTGCCATTTGGTTGTTCTGTACTATATACATTTACATAGCTGTGATTTCATCACCAATCAGTAAAGCCACCATAAAAACACTAACCTCTAAGAATTGTAGAAAATTTTGTAATGCCAGTG